CACACACACACACACACACACACACACACACACGGATGGCTGGAGAAGGAAGCAGGAAGCTGGGTGTCTATACATGATGGAAAGGTTGAGGGAGGTGTAAAAAAAAAGAGAGATGAAACACTGAATTCATGTTAAGAGAAATTTTTTTATTTCGTTATCGAGATTTGCATCTGCTGAGTAGTTTGAGCCCTCCACAAAGCATGGGGAGACAGAATCATATCCCCATTTCACGTTTCCTTCCACTGAACAACCATGTGCCAGTTCTCTGCCAAAGATCCATCAAAAAAGTGTTTGCCTCTATGGGCATTTTCGTGCCAATAAATAAGGAAACCTCTCCCTGGAAAATATTACCATGTTTTTCCGTGTTGCAATTATTATATACATTCTAGTACTAATAACAGATGTAAGAGGGTAAGCAAACAAAGTCAACCGTGAGCTCAAGATTCCTTGCTGCATTTTAATAGCAGCATATTTCCTTCCCAGAAAAGGAGCTACTGTCTGGATCCAAGCATTCACAGAGGGGCAAAGAGACATCTTGAGCTGTGTTTAAACATGTATTAGACCACCCATCCAACACGTATAAAGCCTGAGGAACAGCAAGCTCCCCTGAGCCTTTTATAGTCTGCAACTGTCTTCTCTTTCAGATCCAGTGGCTGTGGAACCTGACTTTATGATACCTATAAGTCATGTCACTAAAAGGAAGTGGACAAGCCATTTGGGTTGAGTGGGAATAAGAGAGGAGAGAGGGAACATGTTTCCTTTCCAAACGGTATTTAGAGAATGCTATTTGAGCAGCCCGTTTCTTTGTCTATTTAAACTGGATTTCATTCTAAGCCACTGAGACCTGAGCTATTCCAGGTGCTCCAGAGAGGTCAGGCCACAGCCTAGAGATTAAGGGTGCTGATCAGACATCCTGGGCTTCAAGCCCAGAGACCTAACCTCATTGTGCCTTTTTTATTCTCTATTTCCTCTCTCATCTTTATATTTGCTCCTCTATGTGAGCCATGTCTTTTTTTTCTCTTGATGCTTTTAAGAGTTTTCTTATCACTGTTTTTGAGCAATCTGATTGTGGTATGTCTTGATGTGGTTCTCCTCACCAACCTCTCATACTTGATCTTTTTTTTTTGGCTTCTTTCATCTCTTTTCATCAAATTTAGAAGTTTTTGGACATTATTTATTCAAACTTCTTTGTCTGTTTCCTACTTTCATTCATTTGCTGACCTCAATTACACATATATAGGGGTCACTTTAAATTGTTCCTCAGCTCAATGATGCTCTGTTCATTTTTTTAAACTATTTATCTTTTCTCTCTTGTTTCACTTTTTATAATTTCCATAATTACTTCTTCTCTACTGCCTAGTCTACTAATTGTCCCCTCCTATGTATTTAATCTCAGGCATTGTAATTTTCACCTCTAGATGTTCTATCTGAATCCTTTGCATATCTTTGATATCTTATTTTGGGTGTATGAATAACAGAATATACTTAGAATCATTTTAATGTCCTTGTTTGGTAATTCTAACATCTGCGTCAGCTCTAGGTCAGTTTTAAAACTTTCTTCCTAATTATTTGTTGTGTTTTCTTGATTCTTTCCAGGTCCCTAAGATTTGCTTTAAAATTTTTTAGGTGGGACCAAAACACCTAGGAATCAGCCTAGGGTTAATTATTCTCCATGACTGAGAAAAGATCTATCCACATTCTCTAATCTGTACTCTGTAAATCATGAGTTTTCCAGTTGGCTGGTGGGAACAGGCAGTATATCTCCATCTCTGGGTACTGTCACCTTTAATCTCAGTGGTTCTTTCCAAGGTGTTGGGTAGCTCCCTAACGTTTATATATTGACCAGTACTCAGATGAATAATCAAAGGAGTGTCTCTTCAGATATCTGAAGTTTTCTAACCACATTGCTCTTTCTGGTACATTCTCCTACAAACTCTAGCTGCCTACATCTCCCTGGACTTTTAGCTCCATCAACTCAGGCAGACTGCTAAGCCCTACCAGGATTCCACCTTCATTCACCTATAGAGTTCTGAAAACTCTGTAAAGGTGGTAAACTAGAACAATGATAGTACTCACCTCATTTGATTCCCCCTTTCTGATCAGTCTTCTTTTTCCTGAGAAAAAAAATGAAATAATACTTATAATGCATTTACCCCAGTGGCTGGCAATGTCATCAGCACTCAATAAAAGCTAAGTATTATTTCCAATGTGTCCATTTTAGGATACAGTTTTGAAAGTTTGAACACATGTACATGCCTTGGTGGCACAATACATTGGAAGAGACAAATAATTAGAAAGCATTTGTTTGTTCAAGGATTCATTTGTCTATTTGTTAATAGACTGTCTTTAGTAGCGGCCAGAGATGAAACTGTGAAAATCCTCCATAAGCTACATGTTGAATAGTATCCAGTTTGTAGTACTACTGGGAAGTGAGTACTATTGGGAAGTGTGGTACTATTGGACTTTTAGGAGGCAGAGCCTAATGGAAAAAAGTTAGGTCATTGGGTGAGTGCCTTTGAGGGAACTACAGGATCCCAGCCCCTTCCTGTTTTTCTCTTTCACTTCCCAGCTGCCATGAGATGAGCATCTTCCTCTGCCACATGTGCTCTACCATGATGTACTGTCTCGCCTAGGCCCCAAAGCAAAAGATCTTCTTACCAAAGACTGAAACCTCCAAAACTGTGAATCTAAACAAAGCTTCCGTCCTTATAAGTTGATTATCTCAGGCATCTTGTTAGTGATAGAAAGCTGACTAACACAGTAGCTTCACTACCATCCTAAAATAAGTGCCAGAAGCACTTAAGAATATGTTTAGGGTCCACAGGGCACTGTAGTTGAGAAATAGGGTGACAAAGAAAAGGAATATTCAACACACAAAGTCATTTTTATTTACATATGCATTTATGTAGAAATATGCATGTAACTTCTGTGATCCAAACCATATCGCTCCACTTTAGTCTCATGTAATTGATGACGCATGACTTGGGACACAGGAGAGAGTTACAGGGGGACTCTCGTGCCTTTAAGTAAAGTTTGATCTCTTAAAATGCAGACCTCTGGAGACAAGGTACCTCCTTGGGCAGAAATGTTATTCATATCTTGGAGTAAATGAATCCATAAAACTATCTTTTGCATCAGTCAGGTGAGAAAAACCAAGAATATTAGTTGGAAGAAGGAAGTGATTGAGTTTAGGAAAAGGGCACACCCAAAATGAAGATAGGAAGGGCTGGCTAGAAAGGGGGGATGATTAAGTTAATAAACCCAGTCCACTCCATGCTTTTTTTAAATTAAAAGTCTTAATATTAAGCAAGTTCTGAAATTATTTTAGCTGTAACATGCTCTGACAATCACACCCAAAATTCTCCAGAAAGCAAAGACGAAGGCCTGGGGTGTGATTCCGGGGGACAGGTATAAAGGGTAGGATTAACAAAGCAGGGAGAGAAGCAACCAAGACAAGCACCTGTCTTAGCAAAGGTAGACCAAGGAATTTGTCCCAGAACACATGGCATCTCTCTCTGCTGTGGCTGAGGGCCAGGAAGAAAGGACACGGCCAATTCGTAGACTTGCAGGTTGGGTTAAAGTGTGGAGAAAGCAACCAGAGGCAAGCATGAATTATTAGTAGCCTAGGATACGAGGTATAAGGGCTTGGATTACATCCCAAAGACACAAAAAGACACTGAAGGATTTTAAGCTGAAGAGAGAAATGATTAGTTATACTTTAACAAAATTATTCAGGCAAGGTGTGAGAGATGGAATAAGGGTCATAAATTAGGAAAAAGGGCTAAATAGGCATAGATTACAATAATAACACTGAAAACATGCTTGATCTAGGGGAAATAAGAATTGGAGGATTTAAGCAATTTGCCTAGGTCAGTGTTTGTGAGCAATACAGCCAGCACTTGAACTCAAGTGATCTGATTCCAGAGCCTGCATTCTTCATCGCTTTGCAGTGCTGCCCTCTGGCCATAAGTTATGGATTAGAACAATAGTCATGGATAATACAAGGAGAGAATATGACTACAACATTATTTGGTAGTTTTCGGTTGCTTTTTATGAAAAGAACTGCATAGGTAGCTCCAGACAAGCTCAAATCACAAGCACCTTTGTAAAGCTCTGGGGACAGGACAAAAGGATAAAGGAAGATAACTCTTCAGTTCACCAGGAATTAATACC